GAGATGAATTAATGCATATTTATTTTAGAACTACAGTAACATCTGATTTCTCTCAACATGGGGACAGCAGAGCTGTCAATCAATACATTGGAAAAAAAAGTTAATTATTTGAAAAAGTAACTCAGATATTCTCTTGTAAATTAAAAAGTAATGTGTTACTTTACTAGTTACTTGAAAAAAGTAATCTGATTACGTAACTCACGTTACTTGTAATGCGTTACCCCCAACACTGATTATAAGTACCTTTTAGAATATCATGGGTTATTTATTATCTGTCATTAAATGTGGTTGGTTTTGCACTTTTCTCACTTAAAATAGTTCATTTTGAAACAATAATTTACAACCATAGGTTGCCATGATTCTGTGTTGTCTACTTGTCAACCAAGGGTGAGTAAGTGAATTACAATGAACACCTTTGGCAGGCACCTGCTATAAACCCACGGTTAAAAATAAAACCTCCTTCAAAATAATATGCTGTTTAGGATTTTATAGGCTATTTCACAGTTCATAAGTGTATATTTCATAACTAATACAATGTTAATATACCAAGTTGTACAAAAGTCTTGATGTTTACCCCCATGATGATGCAGGTGATATAACAGAGGACCACATGTCAAGATGACTGAACCTTGTTATAAAGATGTGCACTTAATAGTGTTGAATACTAAAAAAAGTACTTATATATTATATTAATGAAATAAAAGGCCACTTAAGTGAACTTAAAACTGTTTAAACATGTATACATGACTATTTTTCTTAACACACTTAAGTGCTCTTATGTAATAATGTCAAATGAAAATTTTCACTATTGTTTACATTACTTTAATCATCTTTTGTCATGCTTTAAAGATCACTTTTAATGCACTAAACACACTAAAGCAAATTTACTTGATAATACTTTTACTAAATTTCGATAATTGCATTATTTAAATGTAATATTAAATATAATTGTAAATGTTTTATATATTTTAAATGTAAATGTATTTAAATACTTTATATAGACTATATATATATATATATATATATATATATATATATATATAGTACATAAATATGGGTATATTTTATTTTAGTTAATTTTTTATTAAATTTTTTATTTTTATTATGTCTATAGACTAAAGTTTTTCAATTTAAGTTTTTTATTTCAGTTTCGGTTTTGGTTATCTTAAAATAAATGAAAATTAGAAATGTTGCTCTGGCAACTAGCTGAAATAAAATAAGTTTATTAAAATAAGTTAATAAGTAAATACGTTTTTTTACATATATTATTTCAAACATTTATTTCATTTCAAGTAACATTTTTAATGGTCTAGTTTTAGTTTAGTTTAGTAACCCAACAATGGTGAAAAATAGTGTATATTATTGGACTTATGTATGAACCTTTTTTCACCAGTGTGTGTGTGTGTGTGTGTGTGTGTGTGTGTGTGTGTGTGTGTGTGTGTGTGTGTGTGTGTGTGTGCGCGCATTTTTGTGTTTTTGTGGGACATAAATTTGTATAATGACAAAGGTATGACAGGTATTACAAGGAGAAGGTGACTTTTCAGGACATTACCCCATGTCCCCACTTTTCAAAACGCTTATAAATCACACAGAATGGAGTGTATTGAAAATCTGAAATAGCACAAAGTCTCCTGTGAGGGGTAGGTTTAGGGGTAGGGTTGGTGTAGGGCAATAGAATATACGGTCTGTACAGTATAAAAACCATTAC